CGCCACAACTTCGTTGTCATTTTTTCCTCCCTGGGTGTCCGATCTAAATTCAAGTAACCAATTGACCAGCCAGGTCGGCATTATATGACGATCTTCACCAACAACTCCCAACAGATACGACGAATAAGCATTGATAACCTGAAAATAATTTAAATGATGTATAACAATTCCAATTTGCATTGAATGCTAATAGAAAACAGAACAATAACTTACATCACTGGTTAGCCATTCATGGTCAAGAATCTTACAAGCCCTCTCTGCACTCAGACCTTCGCTCATGCCATCATTGAATATTTCCTTCTTTCTATGTTTTGCTGACCGCTGATAAGCACGAACAAACTTAACACTAGCTTTAATCACATCGTATTCTTCTTCAAAGACTTCTTTCTCGAATAGTTCTGCAATACATGACGGTAATATGTTAATAATTCAATGATAAGTAGTAATTTCAGCTCGAAAATAATATGATAAAACTCACTTGCTTTTGCTGAACGCTTTGCACGCTTTGTAGGTATAACGGGAATATAAGGAGACTTTATAAGGTTTGATCGTCTCCGCTTCCGTTTCCCTACACCCTTCTCCTCTACCTCATCTTCTCCAATACAATCTACCGATCCAAGTGATGCGATTTCATTTGTTCCTAAAGATGTAACGGATTTCTCATCAGATACCTCAGGAACTTCGATAGGATCTTCTTCATCACCCTTGAAACTATCGAAATATTCAGGTGTGCAATAATAAGGTGTCTTCTCTTCAGAATCATTAATATCATCTTCATCATCCTCTTGCACATTCTTTTTTCCCGGTGTTTCGAAATTGTCCACGTCAGGATTATATACAAATTCCTTACGAGGTTTTCCACCATAGTTTCTACTTTCACTATTTTCACCATACTCATTCTCTTCTTCTTTTTCACTATCACCGGCTTTGTAAAATACAACGCTTTTGTTCAATTTCTCTATGACCCTCTGTGATTAAAAATTAGTTGTAATTAGTTATGTGACACATCGAAAACCATTGTGAACGGCAAAATCAGAAAACTTGTACCTGTGCGCATAGCTCCGGCATACGAAGCATATCCTTACGAATGTGCTTCAGCTTAGTCAAAATCCGATCCATAATAGGGTTCTGGAAGCTGAAGCCTCAGATGTATTCACGCCTGTTCTCCTTCCAGTAATGTTAGACTTTCTCATACTGGATTTCTTTTTCTTTTCAGCATGTTCCATTCTTATTTTGTTTAAGCGGTACTCTTCAGTAATGGTGTCATCGATCTACAACATAAAGAATCATACAATCATATTTAATTAATAATTAATTGCAGACTTTAAATGGAAAATAATTATTTAACGTATTATCATTCCAACACCACGACCATTTTGAAAGTCGTACTTGTCTCTTTTCTCCGCTGTCGCTTCTGTCCAATTCCTCATCAAGGGGCTCAACAACGCTAAAGGATCATACTTTGGACCGGTGCTTGGCTGCACCTTCTCCCAATATAGATACTGCAAAACAAACACACAACCATTTAGCATGTGTTACACTATTATTACATAATACAACTATTCAATTTTAAAAATAAATCATACCTGCAGAAGTGCTAGGTTGCCACGTGGCCATTCCCTAACACGACTGGGCTGCAAGACCGTACCAATCTCCGACAAACAAAACCGCAAAGTGAATGCGTTCCAGTTGAACTTTTTTATCTGCCTGACATCTTGCACTAGTGCATAATAATTCTTCGGAATGTACTCATCAGACACTGATGCAATTATAGTCCCTAACAGGACGAGAAACGTCATCCAAACAAATTCATCGTCCGCATTTTTATTTTTCACAATCTTCTCAATAAGATTATCAATCAATATTTTACCATTCTTCTTGTTAACAAAACTAGTTGGAATTTTTTTATTGCTTTGCCTTGGTCCATACTCAAAAAACTAGAAACATCAACTCCTTCATTCTTCAAACCAAATATAGCAAACACATCATCAGGCCTCAATGAAATCAACCATTTTTTCCGGCTGCCTCTTGCACCATGAATTTTTTACTACTAGGATTGTAACCTTGAATCATAAGCGCAAGCAAATTATCACGCATCTTGACCAAAGGTATTCGTAACATGCCCTCCATCTCCGTTTCGTAAAACGTAAATCGCTGACTTGATGTTAATTTATTAACAAGAGTAACCCATTTTTCTACAGAACATGCAATCACACCATCGATGTCCATACTGCATATAAAAATATATATGTGACGTTGCACGCAGCTAATGTGTTATATAATGTTGAAAATTTTAAAATATATACCTGCCCGACGGTGATCACGGCGGCTGACGGCGGCGTCTGACGGCGTGTTCACAACCGGCGCAGACGGCGAGTGATGACGTCGGCCGCTGACGGAGGGTGCTGACGTCGACTATTGCTGGGTGACAACGGGCGTTGACGACCGGCACTGACGGCGGGTGGTGACGTCGACTAGTATGGGCTGATGGCGGCGCGACGCTGTCGGGCGGGGAACGACAATGTGGGCGGCGGGCGACGGGGATCAGACCGGGCGTGTCGTCGGCACGTACGACGCAAAAAGGGCATGCGCGACGTGATTGGGCGACGTGCGCGTTTGTCGGGAATATTCCCTCGGATAGCGACGGCTCGTGCAGATATTGGGTAGATATTTTGCTGCGTCGGGCCCACGGCGATTATTAAGTGGGCGACGGCCAGTCTACAATATTGAATATGTATTTATTTATTTATTTGTATAATTTTGTCATTTAGTGTATTTTTTATAAACTTTGCATGAAAAAAAAACATGTTTTGTGCCCAATTTTTTTTCACTGGCCATAGTGACCATGCAGGGCACGCACGCAAAAATTTGCCGCGTTTCGAGTCCGTATGGATTTTCTACGATTTTCCGGGCCGAAAACCCCTAAAATACTGCCCGGACGTGACGCAACTTGCGTTCGTTGTCGGATTTCGTTTATTTTGGCCGTGGGGTGCCCGGGTGGGGCCCCACATGCGCTGCCAAAAGTTGGGTGCATTCCGTGAAACCGCTCAGGTACTTGCTGTGGAAGGGGGTGGTTGCGGTATGGCCGGAGGGGACCATCGGTCGCACGTCTCCGCTTCGCATCTGCCAAATGTGCCCAATTTTTTT